GACGCCTTGCTCCACCTCGAAGCCCCGGCCGGACAGAGCCCTGTCAGCTTCAGTAGCTGTGTAGTGGTCAGTCCAGGTAGCACGGACAGCTGCGACCGCGGCTCGCACTCAGGCAGTTCGAAAAGACCGTTCCAACAAAAAAGACAGTTGCCGCCCTTGGACAACACCAACCCTCGTAGTGAAAACGTTTATCGATGCGGTTTTTTGCGGGAGCTCGTCCATGCCGCGCAAAAGTCTCGAAGCGACCAGTTTGGCGAGTGGCAAAATTATGGATGGGCGCCACTGTGCATCGAAAGCCAGCTTGTTACATCGACCAAGACAATACCCGAAAGCCTGTTCTGGATGACGCGAACACCCGAGGCAGCAACCATCAAACGTTCAGACCGCCCTTCTTGAAAGGAACCGGTATGTGTCCAAAGTGTCGGCTTTAGCTGGGCGCAGATTTCCTTTTTTCCCACACACACCTCTTTTGCGTCCGTCCATGCCGCGGTCCCAGTGTTCATGCCCAAAGTCCAGGCAACAGCCTGCGGCCTACGGCATGCGACTGGCAAGGGGGGGCTGCTCGGATGAGTCAGCGGGGACGTCGCTGAGGAGCGGCATGTCGCCATCGACGTTGGCGGTGCCGGACACGGGGAGGGAAAGGAGGCTGGCGGCAAAGGTCCGCGCGGCTGCAAAGGCCAGGAGTGCAGAACAGTGCAACACAAAGGCGGCAGTGCAGGCCGCCCGCTGTGCAAGGAGGGGAGCGACACGGGCCCTGCTTCGGGCAAGCAGTCTGACAAACTCAGCGGCCTGGGGACTCCAGCGCCCACCAACCTCAAGGCCAAGCACGACAAGTCGACAGCGGCGCCCGCACGCAATTTCTGGGTATGTCCGGGCCCCCGGGCTTTGGCACGTTCAGCGGCACGCAGAGCTGCCCCAGTGGTGCGGCCACTGTCTCTGCGTGGCATGGTGGGGGGCGACACATGTGTGGCGTCAACGGCAAGCTGTATACCGCCCCACAAGGGCAGGCCGTTCGCGATGACTTCTATGCGTCTCTCATCCTGGCGGACGGGGACAACATTGAGATCTCGCAGAAGGACTTGCATCGCAACAGTTGCGCCCGCTTCCCGGCATACTCTAGCTGGCAGCAGCTCGTTCGAGTGGGCCCCCGAATGCAATACACCAGAGCGTGGTCAAGCGTCAAGGTCGTCTCCGAAGGCATCATGTGGTTGGCCACACCGGCATCTCGCTGCTCTGGCCAGTGCTGTGAGCAGGAGTGGCAGGCGTAGCCGACGCAGCAGGAGAGCTCGGAACAGTGGGTTCAGGCGAGGTGGGCCGTGCAGTGAAGGTGCGGGCAGCAAACGGTCCTGCCTGTGAGCCAAGCAGGGCTGCGAAGGAGGCATCAAGTTCTCGTAAAAAGGCTCGTTGGGCGATTGGAGCCGGAGGTGTTCTTCGGTGTTTTTTTAGACGATCTGTATCTCGCAACCACTCCAGCTCGTGCCCGGCTTGCGCTAGATCGCTAGATGATGTCACCCGCACAGCCGGGAAGCATGCGGGTGTCGCAGCGAATCTCGGCAAGACTCGGGTCTATCGCGCAAGCGGCGGGCCGCCACCGCCCGATGTCGAAGCATTTACCCCGAACTCGCAGGGGGCGGCCCGCAGAAGCTTGTGTTCCTGGGCTCCGAGATCGGAGGCCACTGGAGCCCTGCTGCGCAGTGTTTCGTTCGCGGCCTGGTCCGGCTCCGCGCCCTCCGCTCGCCAGCCATGCGAGCTGCGGCTGCTTCTGGCTGGGCCACTCGTTGGAGGGGAGCCCTTTCTGTCGCGGTGCAGCTCGTCGTTGCGAGCACGGCCTTGGGCCTTGTATGGCCGGCAGCCCCGCTACCTGGGCCGAGCGACGGCGCTGCACAGGACCGGGTGCTCGACCTCGCCGCCAACGAAAGCCCCGGCCGCTTGCCCCTGCGGCCCTGCCGCGGGCCGTCATCGGAGTATAGTCGCAGGAGCGAGGCAGCTGCGGCACTTTCTCGCAGCCGGAAACCAAAAAAACTCTCGGGCAGAGTGGGCTCCGCACCCCCAACATTGCATTCATTGGCGAGCGAGAGGTGTGGCATGGAGGCGGCACGTTCGCGTTGGACCTCTCCGTCTAGCCCGCCGGCTCGTTGGCATTTACCATGATTTATGTATGTATTTGTCCGTTTGTTTGCCGCTTCGTTTGTTTGTTCGTTTGTTTGCTTGTTTGCTTGCTTGCTTGCTTGTTTGTCTGTTTTTGTGTGCTTACTTGTCTGTCTGTCAACTTGCTTATCTGCTTCTGTCTAGTCACCCATACATCGGTATATCCTTGCACCCATCTATGCACCTATCACTTTGCTTCTTCATTACCTTTGATCTCTTTGTCTTTGTTTGTCTCTTTAATTGCTTGTTCGTTCGTCCGTTGGTCCGGCCGGCCGTCTGTTTGTCTGTCTGTCTGCCTGCCTGTCTGTCTGTCTGTTTGTCTGTCTCTGTCCCCCCCTTCGCTCGCTCGCTCTCTCGTTCTAGTCTTTCTTTCATTCTCGTAGATTTACCTTTCCAGGCAGTTTGGCGTCTATGTTTTTATGTATCTGTTTTACCAACCGCTCCATCTAATGGTCATCGGCTCAAACACAGGATGGTCAGCACATTTGAGTTGGCAAATTTCCCTGTTCCAAAAAAAGTTTCGGAGGACTCGGTGCGTCCAGCAGCGACCAGTTTTTGGACGCATGGTCTGTTAATGTCGTTGTGTTACACGAAGCTTACTGACTAACTGTTTGCTCGTGCACGTGACTGCTTGTCTAACACATTCACATGTCTCCGGGCTAGGGGGCATGGCTCTCCCAGTGGGGCGAATCGAAAATGCATCATCCGTCCTGGGACCGGTCTTGAACCAACAGCTTACGCAAAGGGAGGCTGGGCGATGTCGTTTTTCGCTGCGGTTGTTTCAAGCATGTGCGTCACCTTCACCAAGCTATTCCATGCCGTGGTCCGATGACAGGATTTTTTCAAGCTGGGCCCGAAAGAACAGCACCTTGGCTACATGCTCTGATGGTGCAAAGGGGTTTGGCTTGTAATTAACTGCCGGGTCCAAACAAGCTTATATCTCGTGTGTTTTTTGGAAACATCGCGAGAAATCGTGCCACATGCATTCCATCGCCCAGGCTGAGCTATTTCTGCGCAACCAAACTGAACCGCACGATTGGGCCGCAAGTTCCCCGATTGCAATGCGCAGGGTTCATGTTTGGTTTGCTTGTTGATCAGAGACTTGACGCTTGGGACCGCGTGGAACATGGCCAGGACATTCTGTACTTGAGCGACCAGTACCCGCAAGGTTTCCAAACGGTTGCGCCAGCCTCAGACTTTGATGTGCGGCACCCCATCCACGCTCAAGAGCCACCGACCCTGCAGCGGTCACCGAAGACATGACCATCCACACACTTGAGGTACGAATGTGCTGTCTCGATGGGCAAGAGTTTGCGGGCGAAATACGTCAAGACAAAGTCAAGGACACCGGTTCGCTTGGAGGGACATCGATGACGCGGGCTAATTTGAACAGGTTCGCTGTTTGTATGCCTGTGTCCCAAGATACAAAAACAGATACTGTATTGGTCACCAAAGAACTTTATCGGTTCTGTGTTTGGTTCCATTTCCAGTGCTGCATGAAGAAGTCGTGTGGAGAGGCCATTGTCGCATTGAGTGCGTTCGGGCTTGCCATTGAGCCGTGTGTCGAACTTCACCAAAAATGCCGTGCACGGTCATGGTCCTTCCCAATTCAATTGAAAATTTGAATTTCCGATGTCTAGCTTTCCTGGAGTGTTTATCTGTGCACGCTTTATGCACTACTATGCGCACTCTCATTTTTTAAGCGCTCTCCCTCTCTCTTTCTTCCTCTTTTCTGCCAGCCGACATGCCACCGCAACTTTCCACGTTAAACGTCACCCAATGCAGATTGTCTGCCCCCTACACATAACTACTTGCACTCGTAGCTTCCAGGAGGAGCACATAGGCATGCATTCAGAAGCTTCCAACCTCTCGTTACTCGTTTCATCTGGAAGACGGTTCACCCCAGAGGTGTTTCTGTTTCCGAAAATGGGATTCAACCCCTGCATTTCCCCGCAGTTCAGGAGCTGATGTGGGGTCCCGGAGCCCCCATTGCAGTGCAACCGACCATCACGTATGCACGTGCCTTGGCTGTGGTTTTACGTGTCATATCGGTATAAGCGCAGGCAGAAGAAGCCGCCGCTACCCAAGCAATGCTGCTTTACAAGGCCCAGTTTTGCACGAGTTCAACTTTTGTATGTGGTTTGCATCGACACACATGTCACCTCGCAGGCAGAAGCTACGCTCCTACTTGACACGGTGTCCTTGGCTTTTTGCAGTCCTGCATTGGTTGTTTTGGGCCATGATGACCTCTTGCACCGTCTTACCATGCAGGGAGTAGTAACAGGTGGTGAGCAAGTTGGGAGCATTCCAAAGGCACAATAGGGGTCTTTGGCGGCAAGCGGATGCTCCCTGTCGCCAGGCTGTGAAAAAACGGAAAGCAGTGGCTCCGCCCACACCTGTTCAACCGGTCCGGAAGATGCGCCGCCTGGACCCGGGCGTGCCGCATGGCTCAGTAGCAGGTGCATTGAGGCATCGGCGTTTCAAGGCTTCGCTGGCGGCTGAACATGCACTTGTCCTAAAAGAAATTATGGCATACACCCATGAACATTGTTGGTTGGCTCAGGATCGGAATGCCTGGTTGGGTCGCGCAGCAGTCAGCCAACGTGGTTGCAAGCAACAAAATGGAGCTTTCCACTCATTGTGCGAGGATTGCGAGGACTTGCAGCAACATGGCATTCATGCACGGGGTCCGATTCCAGCTTGATGAGTCTGTCGGAGTCTTGTGTCGACAGCATAACTTGCATTTTGATGCTCACATACCTGAACAATAGTTTCTGCAAGCCCACGACAGGAAAATAATGGAGAAGACTGCATCTCGGTCAGCAGAAGAAGTGGAAACCATGAATGCGCTCGACATGTTTTGCGTTTATGCCGTTAAAGCCGCTTGTTCGTGACTATATGGGTCGCGTTGGCCAAGGACATATGCTTCGAAACAAAAGAAGTAGACGAAGGTGGATTTCAAGCTGTGTTGAGGCCCGGCATGTGTGCAGCAGCGTGTCAACGTTCAGTTAATTTTGCGACCAATCTGTTTGCGACCATCCGAACAGAGGCGTCGCAGCAATAACCGTTACAACGCGTTTTTGCTTCTAGCAGGGTTTCCTTGCCCCTCGAACATACCAGTAAAGCGGATTTGCTGGCGGACGTGGGCCCGTCAAAAGAGACTTCCGTCAGAATCATGACCAAGAGCCGTCGGAAATTTTAAGATCGGACTCTCTGGCTCTTGCTGGAAGTTGTAGTGCCCCGTTTGGGGTGATTCAATGCAGGCTTGGACCCGCAGACCTTATGCAAAGGCTACCTTGCCCTTGCTTCAACGGACACGATGTGCGGGTCAGCAATGTGTTGTGGGAGAGAGAGCGAGAGAGAGACAGCGAGAGAGAGAGGGAGAGAGGGGGAGAGTGTGGTTGGAAGAATTAGTGCCGAGTGGTTGCGTGATCATTGCATAGCCCTTGGCCCGTCGCATTGTCCCCGTGGATGCAGGTTGAACTGCCTCCCGGGCGTTTGGAGTACCAGGTCCTTTGTTGGACAGGCCTTGGTTAGATCACTCTGCACTATGATCTTCGGATCCGTCAACCATGACCCTGCAAAGCTCTAAGCCCGAGGTGGTGGCTGTGGTCGTGGTTGTGGTTAATTATCTGTTGTTGTTGTCGCCGTCGTCGTCGTCGTCGTCGTTGCTGTTGCTGGTGCTGGCGCTGCTGCTGATATATATATATATACATACATACATATATATTTTTTTTATTTATATTTATATTTTATTTATCTATTTATGATGGGGCTGCCACACCCCCCGCCCATCCCCGTCCCTCCCCTGTGGCACCCCTTTAAGCTGAGGCTTTGGTTGGCCTGAATTGGAGTACGCAACACGTGTAACACAAGGACCTGTTGTCACGATTACTAGTGACTCAACTACTGTTATCTGGAACTTTAGGGCACTTGTTCTGATCTTCTCCACCACCATCCATGTCTACAATTGCATCTGCTATGGTCGTGCGGCCCGCATCCGCCGTTCTTGAAGTTCTTACGTGTTGCTCTTTGTCTTCCTTCTTGCTGTGGCAAGGGTGGTACTGCTCATGATGTTGTTCTGCTCTAGACGACAATCAGATCATCTTTGACATCATGCTCAACAACATCATTGCCGTCGTCATCTTCTTCACCAGTACCATCAAAAGACAGGGATGGGGTACCATAGGGGGTGTGGGGGGGGGGGATGGGAGCCCGGAACTCCCGGGACCCGAGAGCATGTATGTATATGTGTATATATATATATACAAATTTGAAGGGTTCTGCTTTCCGGCAGGTATAGAAATATGGGTACCTTTACCTAGTTCATCCTAGTTCTGTCTTTCTTTCTTTCTTTCTTTCTTTCTTTCTATCTCTCTTGGTGTCTTTCCTTCTTTCTGTGCATCTCTTCGTTTCTCTGTTTTTTCTCTGGCCAGGTTTGCAACAAAAAGGCGGAGGCAGAGCAAAGCACTGCTGGCGTGGCGTTAGCTGCCATCAAAAAGGACGCGTTCCTCATGAGTCCGGAACCCCAGGGCTGACTGTTGCAGAAGTGCTGAAGCCTGTTCAGTTTTCGATTTTCTATGCATTGGGCTCTAGGGCGCAGGAGAAAGCGAATGCACGCAGCTCAAGGGCTTGACAAATTAATCCAGCGTGGCGAACAGCAAAGCCGAATCTAGGACGGCTTGTCAACGGCCACGTTGGGCCCAATCGAGATGTGTCTTTGCAAAAGCGCCAAATGCCCAGGCAAAAGACGATGCCCGTCCGACGAGACCACACCCTCGAAGCACGACCCATGCACCAAGAACGTCTGCAAGCATAGCAATAGGTGTCGGAAAAGAAGGGGCCAAGGGGTGCGCTACACAAAAAGACCTGAAGTGTACTGCAATGCAATGTCGACCCTCAGTACCATTCATTACATACGTGAATGCTGTCTCACCAAGCCAAAGCACATGTGCTGGATGTGAGGCAAGTTTAACGAGCCCCCGAAAGTGAAGAAAGGTAAGGGCAAGGCCGCCGGTTGCGCATCAGTATGCTGCAATTGTTGCGGGATATGTATAAACGGTGAGATGCAAGCAGATATTATACGGCGGTGTTTTGAACGGGTATTGTTTGGAATCATCTCAAGACAAGCTGCTTTTGCTGCCGATCAGTTTCTACATCGTAGTTTAGAACGACACGAAGGGATTCCTGCATATTTTGGATGCGCTTTGCACGAAGTAGTCTGTTTCAGATTGTTGTGCAGAGCCACGTGTTGCCTTCGGGGTGTTTGGTCGGTGCATGTCCACATCGTGGCTTGCCAAGGGTTAGATAGGCGATTGTGTGTCACATGGTTATGCATGCATCGCCAACCTGAGATGGCGCTCCAACCTCGTCGCTCCTGATGCCTGATACTGAAGCCAACGCCAGGGTTCTTCAAGCAGCGCGCCAGTGGCCGTGGTGCCACCTACGGTCCAGGCTGGCTGTGCTCCATGGCAGCTGTGACGTCGTGCCAGTTCTTCGATTTTTTTGTTGGCTGGGACTTGGGGTGTTCTGGAATCTGCACCCGAGGGGCTGGGAAATAGTGCTAAAAAATGGACGCCAACGGTAGCTTCTTGCAATGACGCCTGATAGTGAACCCCATACCGGCAGCAATAGGTGCAAGTGTCAGCACATGCATGGGGCGACTGGAGAGACCGCTTTTTCCTCAACTTGATGGCTACCCGGGACTTCCCTCAACTTGATGGCTAGCCGGGATGCATGCTACAAGTAGCGCTTTGTGAGGGTGCGATCTGCAGTCGTCACACAACTTAGCATGACCGCTCAAGACTAATTAAGATCTCTTGACTCCGTGTCCGCTTGGACGTGTTAGCTCCGCCGCCTCAAGTCGAGTCTGCGCTCTTCCAGAGCATGCGGCGCTTGCTCTGTGCACGCAGGGCTTCAGCTACCCCCCGCACTTTCAGGTGCAAACCGGCTGATGCATGGTGTTGATTTCCTTGGTTCTTGCCAGCTTATCGTTTTCCCAGTTGCACGGTTGCTTCAAGCACTTGCTGAGAGAGCTTCTCGATGAATTGATCGGCACCCCAGCATTCGCCACTTGCCCAGATGCCCAGGTCTACTTTGTACACACCTGGTCAACCCGGCACTCGGGTGTACTGATGTGTATAGGAGGCACCTGTAATCCTTACGGCCTTACAGCTTCTAGAGGTTGCATCCCGGAGTGCATGTTTCTGCCTCTCCGAGAGTGGACTTTTCAAGCCTAGCATACTGCATCGTACTGTGTAGGAAGGGCACTACTGTATAGCGTGATTTTGCCTATCAAGGGCTGACGGCGCCTCTCCTGACAGCAGCAATTTCCACCCAAAAAAAAGCGGAAAACCTGGGACATCCTTGGACCGAGCATGCTCTGGGGATCCCGAGGATTTCGCCAGGTGGCTCCTTCCATGGGCGCTCTGGTTCCGCAACACCCGACTCAGCGTTGAACTTGTCGATCTGTTCTTTGATGCATGGTGTCGTCGGATTGTTTCTTTTTGTTGTTCCCATGTGTGGAGTTCAAGCAGGCCAAGCCCCTACAGCGCCCAAGCCCTAAAATCTCAAACCTAGCTTGTGGAAACCCTAAACCCTAAACCCCTAAACCTCAAAACCCCGAAAAGCCCAAAGTGTGGAGGTCCCCATCCAGGGCATTCCGCAGACCGGGTTCTGGGGCTGAGCCGAGGCAGGTCATGGGGCTTTGGGGTTTAGGGCTTAGGGTTTAGGGTTTGGGGGTTTGGGGTTTAGGGTTTAGGGGCTTTGGGTTTAGGGCGTTTTTGGGGTTTATAAGCTCTATACGGCTTAAAGGGTTTGCATCTATTTATGAAATCAGTCTCGGTTTTTCTGATAGGCAGGCTATCAAGCTGGGTCATCCTGCATATTCCCTTGCTTCTAATGGTTTTCATGTCTGTTCCTGCGCCATCCTCCACCTGACTCCACTTGCTCTTGCTATCTGCACAGGCTGCCTTCGTGCTATCCGGGAAGAACTTCTATTCTGGGGGCCGGTCGGCCGAAGCACTCTGCTTGTCTTAAGCATTGAGAAGTTTCTGAAGTTCCGGGGGTTGGGGGTGCGAGTGTAAGGAGACATCTATCCAGCGCTTCCTCCAGCAAAAACTGCTTGCAATCATGGCTGTCTTCGAGGCTGTAGGACCTGCAGGAGTCTTCTGTGCCAGGTCAGAGCACTTCCTTGGCCGTTCATCCTGTCGCGGAATCTGGAGAAAATGATGTTGGCGCAGCGGGCTTCCGCACCATATGGTTAGGTGCAGAGACCTTCTGCATCTTTGCATTCAGCAATGCATACTTTGGATGTATACCCAGCACTTAACACTTTGGACATTGGGTGCTAATAGCAGTTGAATCTTGACTTGTCAAGTCTGCTTCATCCCTCGTGAGAGAAGACTCCAGAGTCTTGGGGTTTAGGCCTGGTATCGTCTACGGAACCGTGAAATTGAAGGCTTTTGGGCTTTGCGCCTGGCGATATTTTCTTGGCTCCTTTTGGCTCCGATTGAGGGTCGAAGCCTTTCGACCTCTGCCGTTCTCCCACGCTGTGTGGACTTCATGCTGCCTGGAGTTTTCTCCATCTGAAGCTTGGATTTTTAGGCATCGGTAGAGCACCTACCGTCATGCAAAGCTGTTACTCACCGGCTTTCCGGCAAGCTTTGGTATTTGATTGAGCTTGATGACAGCGTGACTGCCCATCGCAATAAGGAGAGCGAATTCTTATCAAATTCAGCAAAGCTTTGGTGGAAACGCAGGAGCCAGATTGACACTTGGACGCATCGACAGGGTTGGCTGTGTTGCCAAATCACTCTCGCCGACCGCTCTAAGGGAGCAGTTCATATCGAGGTGTGTTGTCCTGGTAAGCATGGGCGATTAGATTTAAGACTGTAAGATTCAACTAGGAGAGCACCCTGCTGTTCTCGTGTCACCATGTTTGCTCTTCGAAGTCTGACGGGCGAATTAATGCTCATGTGCGCATCTTGCCAGAGGCTTCCACAAATGCAGACAACACAGTGCTGTGTCTGAAAGCTTGTGCGCCATAAGCACTACAAGCCCACAACTGGTTGCACGCGCACTTCGACGGTTTGGGATCTGCGGCTTACGACGGTTACTGCTGCAGGGTTCTGCAAGGTATCATCCTTCAGGGATGATCTCGGATATTGTCCCAAGCCGTCTAGCCAGTCAGTGTCATGTTGTGCTATGTTCACAACAGCACCGTGCAGAGGACCTACCGGACGTGACTATGTCTGACGGGCACGTGACAGTGGGCCAGTGCATCGAGGGGCTTCCAATCGGTGTCTTCGCTTCCTGGCAAAATCCTCGGCCTTTGTTTTCCTGGTCTCAGTTATCTTGCCGGTCTTGCCACAACTGCTTCGGATTTTGCAGGCGGGGCTTGGGATGTTGATGCACGGCAAGCCCCGTCATCTACAAGGATTGCCGCGATGCCGCGCAGGCATGCCCAGCCCCGCGCCCTTCAACAACAAAAACCAGCTCGCACATTCCGGCATGTGACAAGGAGCCGGTCACAGGCGACGCACAGCAAAAGCTGCGGCTACAACAGCATCAAAGCTTTCGGCACAAGAGCAGGACAAGGCTCTGAAAAGAGTTCCCAACGATTGGCTTGGCATGTGTTGGAGATGAAATTCTCAGCATCCCTGCCCCAGTGGGCAAGCAGAACCGGATACCTTCAACATTTCCTTTTGAAGCCCTAAGGTAAAGACAGCGACCTACCCCATTCTATCTCTTGTTCTATTATAGTCTGTTATATTTTTATGTACTACATGATTATAACCCTAAACCCTGCACCTTAAACCCTATATTATACTATACTTTGGATACTGCCCCCACTCAGTAACAGTTGAGTAATATTCAGATGATGGATATATACGGCCCTTAATAATAGCCCTATTATAGACTGTTACTGTATGGAGGCAATACCCAACCTAAAACCCTATAAGCCCTAAACCTCGCTTGTGGGCATAGATCTTCAGCCATGCGAGAGGGGAAAAACCCTAAACCCAAACTATACTCTGCGTGAGCGAGTGTGTGAGTCGAAACCCAAACTATACTATACTCCAGGTTTGGGAGCTGCTGCTTTGCGCCTTCCTGGCTTCCTTCTGGCTGGGCGCGCTCAATGAGCCCTGAGCCTGGCAGAGCTCTGTGTTCCAGGGGATTTCGGGTCTAGATGTAATAAGAAGTATAGAATAGGGCTACTAAGTTATAGGGGTTTAGGGTTTGACTTCGAAGGCTTCTGGGGAGGTATGGTACATAACATGATAAAGTAGCGCCTAGTTAAGTAACATGTTATATTGGAATACTGCGTGTATGTTGGCTCACGACAGTACAAGATAGCACGCTATAGCATAATGTTGCACAACATAGTTTACTATAGTATAGAAACTGGAGTACGAGTATGTAAATATCTTGCAGTTAGTTCTTTACCTTAAAGTAAGATACATAATATTCGCTACAAGAACTTCATACGTTCTCATATAACATACTGAAACACAACA